TGCTGTCCAGTCTTGCTTTAAACACAACCCTCAGATCTCAGCTTTCTAAGTAGCTAGAATTATAGGTGTGAGCCACAGGTGACTGGCTTGGACCTGTGGCTTTTGCTACCTAAATATTTGTTGTTCCCATCGTTTCTAATTCCAGCTGCCATTTTATTCTGCTCCTGGGCTACTATACACAGTCTCCTGACTGGTTCACCCTAAGCGTCTCTAGCCTCCTTCCCTCTGCTCAGCAGTGCAAATCAAGCCAGTTCTCACTGTGTCCAGAGCAATTGTATTGAAATCTGAATGTGATCTTGTCTTTATTCTACTCAGATTCCACCAGTGCACCTCAGTGATGAATGTAAAACATGCCATCTATAGAGTTCAAAGCCCAGAACAAAAGAAAAGAAGGGAAAAGAGAAGCAATGTAAATTCCTTCATAGCTATTGAATCAGAAATCCCAGGCAGGGGGCCAATGAGTCTATGCTTACAAACCCCTTTGTGTGGTTGGAAATCTGAGAAGACAGGTATAGTGGTGCTGTATGGCCTGCCCACATCATCTGGAAGCACTGAAAGATGGACAGGGCTCTCAGCTCTTACACCCAACACCTCAGCCTCAGTGATGGGCAGCTGCATGGTGGCAAAGAGATACTGGCAGAGAGGAGGAAGGCAGCAGGGAAGTAAAAGGGAATAGGGAGGTAGAACATTGCTGGCCTTCTTGTTACATTTGCTGCCTGATAGCCACAAAAACAAGAAGTCTAAGAGCTGGAGTGGAAAAAATCCCAGCCTTGTCCGGACAAGCAAAGAAGGTGAGAAGGCTCAGTACAGTGTGAAGGAGGGAAAGGAAGCCCTCTCTCCACTCAAGAGGCTGAGATCTGGAAATGGCACTGTGGCTCAAGCGGTAGAGCGCTCGTCTTGAGCTGAAGAGCGCAGGGCCAGCACCCAAGCCCAGAGTTCAAGCCCCATGACCGACAAAAACAAAAACAAAAAAAGCCCCCCCCCCAAAAAAACCCCACTCTTTCAAGAGGCTAAGATCTGAGGATCATGGTTCAGCTATTCTGGGCAGAAAAGTTAAGGAACTAGTTATTCCCATTTCACCAGCAAACAAAAGCCAAAAGTGGAGCTGTGGCTCAAGGGCTAGAGTGCTGGCCTTGAGTTCAAGCCTCAGTATTGGCACAAGAATAAACAAATGTAGGTAAAAGTAAGTCCAGGTACAGGTGAGAATATGTCTACGCCCCGCCTTAGCTGTAATATTCTGCTGCAGGCCATGGGAAGTATAGTCCTTCAAGCTGCTTCTAGGAGGGAAAACCATTATCAAGAAAGAGGATAAGTGTGAGGCAGAACTTGCTTCCAAGGTAGGCTCAGAGAGATGAAGACAGTAGGAGGTGGTGTGGAGAAGTAGGTAGAGAGCTCTTTGGATGTGTCCAGGGATTTGGCCATCACCCTAAAAAAATGAGAAATGATGGGAGATATAAAGGTGGCAGGGGCTGGGAAGGTGGTTCAGTAGTAGAGCGCTTGCCTTGCATACATGAGGACCTGGATTCGATTCCTCAGCACCACATAAGCAGAAAAAGCTGGAAGTGGCGCTGTGGCTCAAGTGGTAGAGCGCTAGCCTTGAGCTGAAGAGCTGAGGGACAGCGCCCAGGCCCAGAGTTCAAGCGCCATGACCAACAAAAAACAAAATAAGGGTGGCAGGTGCTTCATGGGGTTGGGGGAGGGTGGCACAGCTGGAGGCCGAGGAGCTGAGGCAGGGAAGAAGCAATGGACACATGGAATCAAATGGTAGGTAAATGGGATATAAGTAGTTTTGTGTATTAGTGTTACATTCGAAAAGCCCTCTTCTCCCTTGCATCAAAGCCAGGACGGCTTTCAGATACTCAGGGGCCACATATGGAAACATTTAAAAATACCAATCAAGTTATTTTCCTGCTTTGACAAATGTATTCTCATAACCGCAAGAATCAAAGTTGAGTATAAAGCACACTGGTTTTTATGTGATTGAAAGTTGGCAAACATATTGAACATGTCAACATTTAATTATCTTTGCTCATGATGGGGCATCCACTGTGCTAGTGATATTTGGATGGGTAATAAAGTAATGACCTATCTGATTCCTAAATTATTTTGTATTTTTCCCATAAAATGTGTTTTTCTTGTCTGTCAGTAATATTGTAAACAGAGCCATAAATGAGAATTTCGTACAGTTGTTCTGTTAGCAAGGAAACCAAATGAGGTCATCCTTTTTGACTTTTTTTTTTGTCAGTCATGGGGCTTGAACTCAGGGTGTGGCACTGTCCCTGAGCTTTTTTGCTCAAAGCCAGTGCTCTACCACTTGAGCCACAGGTGACCCCATTTCCTTATTCAAAGTTTTGATAGTTTTAAAAATCAATTTCAATTAGAGAAAGCTTCAGTGTGCCAAGACTGAGTTGAAAACAAACCATAAAATTTATATACTATGCTCAGCTATGGTAATGAAGTCACATATACTAAGTTATTATTACTGAAGACTGGAGGTTGTTTCCATCATATGAACAACTGGATTGTCACCTTAGCCATCTTTAAAATCCATACAAATACTGAAAAAGAATCAGTATCATACAATTAATCATCCACATAAATTGTTTCATATGCCAAAATGTCTCTCACTCTTTATGTGCCACTGCAATGAAGACGGTACTACTTTGAATGTGTCTGGGACCACAAGTTGGAACAAGAAACAGGAAAATTGACACCCTATACTCTGAAGAAAATAGATACTATTATTCCAGTTACATGAATGATCTGGTAAGATAATGAACTTGTCTCTTTCCTTATCAAACCAAGCATTTCTGTTGTCCAGTTCTCCCTGCAGGCCATCTCTGGTGTGGTGACTGTGCAACACACAGACATCACACAACAGTTGGTAGTCTTTTTTTTTTGTAGGGAAGCATGAAGCCTATTCCTGGGGTCTAAACAGTGTTATTCCTGAAACATGCTCACAGTTACAGGTTACTACCACCTCCCCAGGGAGTCCCTCCTATGTGTGTTATCTTCCTCCTCCTCTTCTTTTATGGAGTTAGAATTCACTTAATGTTGCCACTAACTCTACACTGTCATTTCCTGCAGTATCTCAGATCTGTACTGTGTCTGTGAGCACTGAGCAGTCTCTCTGAGTACCACTTCTCATCACCAGCCTCTCACAGCCACTCATCCACTTTGTATCTGTGGAATTGCCAACTCTGGGTATTTCACATGAACAGAATCCATTTGGGGCTGGGAATGTAGCTCAGTGGTGTAAGTGTTTGTCTATAATAGAAGGCTCTGGGATTAGATCCCCAATACCGCCCCTCCCCCCAAAAAATAACATTGTGAAATTTTGTGTTTGGTATCTTTTTCAAGGATCATCTATGTCATGTTTAGTATTTTATTTATTTTTGTGATTGAATATGTCACCATATTATTTAATATGAATATCATAGTTTTTTCATTCATGGGTTACTAGCCATTTGGGTTTTGTTCATTTTTTGTTAGTATTATGAATAATATTGGAATGTTATGGGTGTTAGTGAACAAATATTTTTGTGACCACACTTGGAGTTTTGTTGGTTTATACCTAGTTACATTCAGTGATTATATTCATAATTCAAGAAACCGATTCACAGAGTAGTTGCACAACTTTGCCATTTTTCCAGCAATACATGAGGGGTCAACTTTCTCCACAACTTTGTCAGCATCTGTCATTGTCTTGTATGTGTCCTGTGTATGTGCATGGGTGTGTGCTGGTACTGGGCGCTGTCTCCGAGGACCCCCGCCCCCTGCCATAGCTCCATCTCTGGCTTTTTGGTGGTTAATTGGAGATAAAGAACCTCATGGACTTTCTTGCTCAAACTGGCTTTGAACTGTGATCCTCAGGTCTCAGCCTCCTGGGTTGTCCGGATTATAGGTGTGAGCTAACTATACCTGGCCTTATTATGAAAACCTTTTGATTACAACTATCTGAAGGTCTGTGAAGTGGTATGTGGTGTGTATTTTTTCCTTTATACATCTCTAATAACTAATGATGTTAAACATGGCTTATCTACTTTCGTGTGTCTTCTTTGGAGGAACAGGTCAAGACTTTGGCGTATTTTCTTTTATAATTGATATTTATGGAATAGTTCCAAAATGGAGAAGACAGTGTAGAATTTCTACATACCTGTACCAACGTCCCCGTTTATTAACACCATTCACTACATGTTTATATTACATTTCATCTCATGATGGCACATTTGCTACAATTAGTGAATACACAATTTTGATACATCATTAGCAAATAAGGTCTTTAAATTGATGGCTTGGTTTTATATCTCCCCCCCACTTTTCTGGCTTTTAGTTTTTCATTATTGGTGGTTTAATGTTTTAGCAGGTGATAATTAGGCCTTTTCCTTAATTCGTGTTTACAAGTAATTAAGATACAGTAGGCAGGCAGGCAGGCAGACAGGCAGGCAGGAAAGCAAGATAAGCTTTATTACTGGTGGAGCGGGGTGGAAGGCAGGCTTTGGAGTGGCAGCCCCATGGGTTTTCTCTGGTCATGATTTGGTTCCAGGCAAGAGCATAGTAGTGGTCTGCCTAACCAAGGGGGACGGCCCCACCTGGAAGCCCACCCACATTTCCCACAGTGTCTCCACAGCAACCCGCACACTACTCCTCTTCCATCTGGTGCTTGGCTAGGCCCAGCCCATGGAGGCTAGGATGGCAGACCCATTGTGCATCCATGCCAGCTTACAGGAAGAAACACAAGAGTCCGGAAGGACGTGCCAATTTTTGTTTATCCCATTAGTTAGGATGTGATCACCTTGCCACACCATACCTTAAATGGGTGGTCATGTCCCTAGGTAAAAATGAGAATTGTGTTACAGAGATATTGGTGGACAATTTGTAGTCTCTGTTACCTTCTAGAATGAAACCTAGGCGACCAGGCAGCGCCGAGCTGGCCCCCTTACAGGGAGACTGAGAGTAAGGTGCCTGCAGAAAGGGGCACAGAAGTGGGCGAGCCTGCCTGCTGAGAGGCGGGGCCGGGGCAGAGGTGATGATAGGTGGTGGAATTTCATTCTTAACTGATGTCTGCCTCTTCCAAGGGACCATACAGAGAACTGTCATAAGGCAGAAAAGCGGTGCACGCTCTGGCACCACAGTAACAAGGTTTTCGTCGTTTCCCATGGTCTAGCCCTTCCGGGTCCTCAGTGTCTGCCAGGTTAAGAAATCTTCCTGAGTAGTCATAGGAGAGCTCTTCTCCTGGCACAATGTCTCTGGCTGCAAAAAGTGCCAACCTGGGCACCATTGAGTCCACTCGGATGGGGACCATCAGCAGGTTTGGCTCACAGGCATGATTGAGGAATCTCCCGAGGTTGCCTATGTGGGTAGGGTCAACAAACGTTTCCATTACCTGCCCCTTGCAGACGTGCTCCCTGACGGCGATAATGTAATTTGAGTCGTGGATTGTCTGGGAGTGAATTCTCCTCTGCGCTTCAGAAAGGCCTAGAACCTCCCCAGCGTACTCACAGACGAATCTTCCCTTTGGGATCAGTTCCAAGGTCCGAAGTCCCCAGCCTTTCCTGTCCGTCAGGAACACCTGCAGGTGGGCCTGTAGCCCTCTCTGGACTACTCTGTTTGGGCAGTGGGGGCTGCACCGGCACAGGGCGTTGCACTCGAAAACAGGCCGGGCATACTTTGCTTCCAGTCCTATGTCTCTGAGGCACAAACTGTCATCATAGTTCTTGTCATGGAGGAGGCAGGAGCAGGTGCCGGGGACGCAGGGAGTCTGGACGCAGACACACCCAGGAAAGGTTATTTGACTGGGGTCCATGTCTGCTCCAGGCCCAGTAACATGGTCGGGACTGTACTGTAAGAAACAAATACTCATTAGCATGCCATGTCATAGAGCTCGTGTGTGTGTGTGTGTGTGTGTGTGTGTGTGTGTGTATGTATGTACTGTACATGAAGCTTTTGGCTTGGATACTAGATAATTCTAACATACATAAAAACAGACAGGACAAAACTCTTTACAACGTAGTACACTAAAATAGTACCTGAAAAGATCACTCTCCAATTGAAAAGATACTAATTTTTATATTTAAACTTCTGTGGTTTCATTTTAAGCAAAAGGCTAAATAATAGTACCCACTTCCCAATTTTATATACCAGAAACAGCTTTGGAGTTCATTTTGTTTCCTTCAAATTTGGACATCAGGGAAATGTTTGTTGAATTATTATTTGCATGCAATTCAACATCTGATTTCTGTCATCGTGATCTTTAAATGAAAAGGCGATAATCTAAAACATCTCTTAGTTTTTTTCAATGTGCCTCTATTTTCAGAACATTACATTTATTAAATGATACGGAAAAAGAAGAAAACCTTAAGTCTAAAATCTCTGTGTGAAACCTGATGTCTGGTAATTCTTTGCTGGCATCATGAAGTAGATTTTCAGCCTCTGAAGATTAGGGTGTCTCTCATGAGCCTAGCATATTTGTAATATATAGATTTCCTCCTCTCCTCTCTTCTCCTCTCCTGACCCGTCCCCTCCTCTCCTCTCCTCTCTCCTCTCCCTTCTCCTCTCCTCTCCCCTTTTCTCCCCTCTCCTCCTCTCCCTTCCCCTCCCCTTCTTTTCCCTCCTCTCCTCTTTTCTCCTCCTCCCTTCCTTATGGACAAGTTCTTGACCTTGAACTTGTGTTGCTCCTACTTTAGTGTCCAGAGAGCTGGTGTCACATGTGTGCACCACCATGTCTGGTGGTGTAGAATAATCATTGCTTACATTTATTCATTGCTCATTTATTCCACCCTTGTTCCAAGAAGGACTTAATGAGATTTGCAAAGAGGCAAGATAAATAAACAACAGGTAAGAACATGTGAGCTATGCTCTGGTTTGGATAAACGCTTCCCACAACACAGTTGGGAGGTGGTGGAACTTTGAAAAGGTAGGACCTAGTGGGAGGAAGACCAGTCATGGGACTCAAGAGGCTCTGGGAGCCTCAGCCTTGTCCCTTCTCAGCACCCATGCGGTTAGCAGCCTCCTGGCTCACATCCCTCCACTGTGGTGCTCTGCCTCAGCTCAGGCGCCACAGCAGTGAGGCCAACCAGCCTCAGATTGGAACCTCCAAAACTATAAGCCCAAATAAACCTTCCAAGTTGCTTACCTCAGGTATTTTGCTGCAGTAACATAAAGGCGAGTAACCCCAAGTGAACGGGAAATGAGAGCAGACCTGTCTGTGTAGTGAGTTTGGATAGACAATGCGTGCAAGGGGCGTACAGTGGATATTTGGCTTCATCTGAGGGCAGCCATTGCAAGGAGGGCTGTGTGGTCAGAGGGGAGCCTTGCATTGTCTGTAAGCAACAAGCTCACTGCGCAGAGGCAGCAGTGGCTTGTTCTAGTAGTGAGGCCAGAGAGAAATTTCACTAAGGTGTCCTCAGCCGTTCTTTCCAGGAAGCAGTTTCTGGGAGCTGATTTTCATTCTGCCCCTGAATAAAGACTTCTGGCGTGCTGTCCCAAACAGTTCTACAGGACACCAGGTGAACAGAGTGGATGGAGTAGCTAGGCCCCAAATGTCCTTCAGTCAGTCCTCCATCAGTGTCTCTCAGTGCAGCTGAGCCTTTGGAGGGGCTGTGCAGTTCAGTGCTGTACCTTGTATTTTAAGAAGCACAGAGCTGGGGGAGGAGTGAGGAGAGAGGAGGGTGATGAGTGGGAGAAGCAGTGAGAGCAGACTAACTGCTGCTGGGAAAGTGATTTGGGGGTGGAGAGCAAAAGTGCTCCTGTTTTGTGTTGTTTCTGCCAGCTGCTGCTCAGCAGGGTGTGGCCCAGGGAGAAGGGAAGGCCTAGGCAAACATGCATCTGTCCATCCAGTGCAGTGCTGCCCCACACAGGGGCTGCTTCCAGCTCTTAAAGGACTCCACGTTGAGGTGTGAATGGTTGCTCAAACACTTGGATGATTTTGTCAAATGAGGATTTTTATTCACCATTATGAAACTTTTCATAAAGGCCCCTTTTAAATTGATTTCTTCTTCAGGTTATAAGTGCACTATATAAACCACTAAACTGTTTACAGTGATTCTTTTCAAACAGATAACTCCCTTTACGAGCAAGTCTGACTTCAAGTAGTTTTCTAACTAGGAAAGCATGTTATTCCTTGTTGAAAAATAGTGTTATTTGCTGACTTTTACTTATAAGGTTTTGAGATTCTTAAGTTAAAAAAATAAAAGATGTTTTAGAAAAGCATCTTATTTTAAAAGGTTCTACAATGAAATTTTATTTTATTTTTTTGTTGGTCCTGGGGCTTGAAGTCAGGGCCAGGGTGCTGTCCCTAAACTTCTTTTTGCCCAAGGCTAAAGCTCTATCACTTGAGCCACAGCTCCACTTATGACTTTTTTGGAAGTTTATTGGAGATAACAATCTCACAGACTTTCCTGCTGGGCTGGTTTTGAATCATAATCCTCAGATCTCAGCCTCCTGAAGAGCTAGGATTACAGGCCTGAGCCACTGGTGCCTGGCCAGAGGTAGAATTCTTACCCTACAGAACAGGCTCAGCAAGTACTGTTTGATTGTTTGGTTTTAGGTCTTGAGAACACTGGACTGGAAGTTTTTGAGTTTTCTGAGTCGCATTATATATCAAAGTCCTAGAGACTGAAGTGTGATACCATATAATATTGTGGGATTCAAACTGGACCTCAGTTCTGAATCGTTTTATACAAGGAAGTGTGTTCTTTCCTTTTTTGGTTGTGCTGAAATCCCAGCTACAAGAATCTCTGTACTTGGCCTCTAGCCTCCTAAGTTTGTTTTTGCTCTAAGCAGTTATTAGGAGACTGTGAGCCAGCTAATTCTTGTCAAGGCCCAGTGAAGATCTTAAAAATGTTTGAAGCTGGTTTCAGAGACCTGACAAATGATTAAATCTGACTCCTAGCTCCAGAGATCAATTAGTTTATTTTCTACTTGGCTTTCAACACTGATGACATTATGATATACTTGCTTCCAATCTGAACATCTGAATATTATTATTTTGCCTTTTCACACAGTAAGGGAAAGCAGATCAGACACAAAGTTATTTTTACCTTGACTTTTTTCATGCCTTAATTCTTGGGGTGCATGCACCTGTAAAATCATGGTTTAGAGCAAACATGCAAGCAATTTTGAGCTTTTAGAGGGGTAGTTTTGTGTTCCCTCAATATATGGAAGAGAATTATTTGAAGATGGGCTCAGTGGTACAGCAGTTGCCTAGGTATGTAAAGCCCTGAGTTAGATCCCCAGTATCAGGGACAAGAAACAGTTTGAAGGCAATATGAGGATTTTTGTTTGTTTGATTTTTTTTTTTTTGACAGTCCTGTGGCTTGAACTCTGGACCTGGCTGCTGTCCCCAACTTTTTGGGCTCAAGGCTAGTGTTCTACCTCTTGAGCCACAGCTCCATTTCCAGTTTTTTGTGGTTAACTGGAGATAAGAGTCTTAACTGGAGGTAAGAGACTTATCTCCAAGAGCCTGCCATATTATAAGCACTCAATTAGTTTTTGAATTAAAAAAAAATCACTGGGTATGGTGGTTCACGTCTGTAATCCTAACAACTTGGGAGGCTGCGATCCAAAGTGTTAGAGTTCCAAGTTAGCTTAGGTACAAAGTTCCTAAGACTCCATCTCAACCAACTAAAACAAAAACAGCCTGAATGCAGCACATCTGTATCCCAGCTATTTGGAATGTGTAAATAGGAGGATCGTTGTCTGGCTGGTGGGAGCTGGCAAGACACTATTCATAGAAATAGTGAAAGATAAAAGGGCAGGGAATGTGGTTCAAGAGGGGAGAGTGAAAGTAGCCAACACAAGGTCAAGCTCAAACCCCAGTAGCACACACACACACACACACACACACACACACACACACACACACACACACACACCCTCAGTATACTACAAACCCCAGTAACACACACACACACACCCTCAGTATATTACAAACCCCAGTAACACACACACACACACACACCCTCAGTATACTACAAAGACCAGTAACACACACACACACCCTCAGTATATTACAAACCCCAGTAACACACACACATACACACACACACACACACCCTCAGTATACTACAAAGACCAGTAACACACACACACACACCCTCAGTATACTACAAAGACCAGTAACACACACACACACACACACACACACACACACACACACACACTCCTCAGTATACTACAACCTTTCCATTAAAAAAATCCCCTCCCCCTCCCCCTCCCCCTCCCAGCGGCCGCTTAGCCCCGCCCCTGCCCGGAAGGTCTCTTAGCCAGGCCCACCTGGAAGGCCGCCTAGCTCCGCCCCACCCCACCCGGAAGGACTCATAGCCCCGCCCCTACCTGGAAGGGCGGCGGCCTCGCCCCCGGGGGCCACACACTCACGGGCAAGTTCTCCAGGCCGCAGGCTACATCCAGTGGCTCTGTCGCGGCCTCAGGCTCCCCTCCAAACGTGGCCATCGCCTCAAACGCCACCGTTTCTCCACAGCTCCCGCGGACATTTACCCGCCAATCTTCCTCTGAACTCCCGTCGTTGGCCTCGCGGAGGACGCCGGGCATTGTGGGTCTCGCGGCCCCAATGCCTTGTGGGAGTTGTAGTTTGCTCTCACCTTCCCCTAGGACCTGTGAGGTGCGTCTTCCTCGCTCAGGTGTCTTCGGATTGTTTTCTGGGTCTGGCTCCGGGTTTTAATTTCAAAACCACGAAGGGTACTGCAAGACTTAGGGAAAACCAAATGGAAGGTTTGCTGTATCTCCCCGGCGCAGGGAAGGGACCGAGGTGAGGTCCTCGCAGGCTTTGAAGGCCTTTGCCGCTTCCCGGAGTGGAGAGGGCTGGCCGAGGGGAGATGCACCGAAGTTTCCACAAGTGTGGCCCCTGTGGGGAAGCTGGGTGACCTGGGGCAGGCGTGCGGGGAGGCTGCGCCCAGGTGCCATGGCCTTTCTGAGCACCGCACAGAGCACTTGTCCCCCGTGGGCTCACCGGCCTTGCTCCCGGCCAAAGCGTTCTCCCAGCCCGAAACGTCTGCCCCTCCTCCTGGCCTCTCCGTGTTACCTCCCTAGAGAAGGTTCCTGAACCTCTTCAGAAGGGTCCCAGCCTGCTGCCATGCACGTGTGAGCCCAGCCTTCAGGAGGCTAAGGCAGGAGGATTGCCAGGGCCAGGCCAGCCTTGCAGCAAGTGGAGAGACTAAGTTTTTAAAAAGGTGTGTGTTTGTGTGCGCCGGTGTGTGCACGCACACCTATGTGCACATGTGTGAGCACTTATGCCGTACAGTTTCCTGTTTGTGGTAAAAGTAGCGGAAAGTTGGGAGAAGAAGGCAAGCTCGGTAAAGAGCCAATTTGCTCAGACCCTAAAGGCTGCATAGGATTTGGGATAATTAGGAAAAGTCATTCCCCACAGAAAGAACAGCAGGAATGAAAGAGAGTAGAGTGTGTGTATAGCAAAGAGTAATCCCCTTTTTGAGGGGGAATTAAAGTACTTCTTTTGAAGACAGAGCCTTGTCTAGTTGCCCAGCTTCATGGGGAAAAGAGTAATTTTGAATTGGCAGAAGACAAAGTTCATTTCATTTTCACAACAAGGGTGGTTTTTTTTTTTTGTAGATACTCAAAGAACTTACTGTTCTTTCATATTAGGAAATGTTTTCCAACACTGATTATATGCATAGTGTCATTTTTACCAAGTTGGGAAACTTTTGCATGAAGACATGGTGACTTAGAAAAGATTGCGATCTTACAAACAAATAGTTACCTGCTATAAAAAGTAACAAGAGCTCAAAGGATGGAATACAGAAATATAGAAGCTGTAAGGAGAACCACATTCCTGCAGATTATTCCGCTGTTTTTATTTTTTGACTCCTTGGTAATGCTGTCCACCCTTTGGAAAAACATTTTGAAGGATTTATATGTTTTTTTTTTGTGAAGCTGTCAGTGATGGTGTTTCCAGAATAAGAGATTGCATCCATGTGGGCCCTTCAGTTTAATTTGTTTTTTATCTTGCTGGCAAAGTATCCCAAAGTGTTTTACAGAGTGTGAGATTTAAATAATGAGAGGGTGTTTGCAGGCTGATAGAACCAATCTTCAGAATACCAAGCAATCAGACTTTCATCTCTTCCAAGTCTAAAAACCCATCTTATTTTCTTACACACCTGCTCTTCACCAAGCAGGAAACTTCATCTTCATGATTGGTTCTGAAACTGTGTCATAGCTAGGCGGTGAGAAACATGTATCTCTCTGTTTTAATGAGTTACCTAAATTGACTGTTACAAATAGGCCTTGGACTTGATTATTAGTAATTATTTGTAATTAATCATTGGTTATTTAAATTTCATTTGGCTTTTCACTGGCAGAAGCAAAACTAATATGAGCAGCCATAAAGAACCACTAAATCAGAGTGGTTTCTGTTACTTTAAAGAATTTTGACCTATAAAGGTACTGTGCTCATAATGATGACATTTTACTATCATCATCATTAGAAAGTGTGTTCTAGATAAGTAGTTTTTATGTTCTGAACAAAATTTATTTGATTTCATTGTAGTATCTTTTTTTAAAAAACACAACTTACCTTCCTATGTCTTTTCATTAAAGAATGCATCTCCCAAATAATATGGACATTTATAGAGGTTAGTAGAAACTAAGATTTCTGTCTGGTGGTAGAGATAATATAGCAACAATTGTTTCAGATAATTAATACCTAGTATTGTTGAGAAATAGCAGAAACATAAGTAAATTAGACAGAAAAACATGTTTTTTTTAGTAACTGAAATTTTATATAAAAGTATATGGCATATGAGAAAAAATATGGCAAGCAATTAAACTAACTTCAGACTGGTATGCTACCTAATTATCAATATGTTATTTATGCTTCCAAAAGATTGGAATTTATATTCTTGTATCTGAACTGCTAGTAAATGTTTTCAGTAGAATACCAAAATTACATATTGTTCTTTTTTTTTAAATTACTGCATTATGGTTTTACGAAATCTATGGTTTTCCTTTTTCATAAAAACATATAGAAAATCACAGTCAGAATATTGCTAGTATAAGTGCATCTGCTGTAATATCCAGGAGTGATAATGATAGACCATCTCATTGTGGTGAGCTATCAAATGGATGTTTGTTTGTTAACAGGTGAAGAGTGAAGGGAAAGGGAATTTTAAGTTGGGAGCCAGTGGCTTAACCTGTTATCTGCCCTATGCAGGAGGCTGAGGTTGGAAGCTAGCTGGGCCAGGAGTGGTAGAACACTAGCCCTGAATGGAAAAAAAAAGTGAGTGAGATCATGAGGTCCTATGGTCAAGCCCCTGTACTCGCACAAAAAAGAGGAAGAAAAAGAAAATTAAGTATCTTGAGATGTCATGAACAAGAAGTTACTCCACTTCTGAGGAACATATAAACAAATTTGTTATTTGTCATATTCAAGTGCCAGGGCTCTCAGAATGGACTGGCCCTGTTTCCAATCTAACCTTGAAAAACACAGTTTGGAATTATGTCCACACAGTTTCATTTTCATTTGATGTTCAGGATATTAAAGTTTTCATACTACCTCAGAGGTTATCACCTATAAACCAAACTTTAAACTTCTTTTAATAGCAGTAGCTTCCTTTTTTTTTTTAGTTGAAATCTCCTCTCATTTGCAGTAAGGCACACAGGATCTTTAATATGTAGTTTTGAAAGCAAAGATATGTATCTTTTGAGGTTTATTTTTTGTTGCTCAGCTTGCTGTAGAAACGTTCACCCCAAAATTTAAGTCCACATCTACAAGCGCCTATAATTTCCACAGACACCTCCAAGCATCATCTGAGAGTTGGATCCTTATAAATCAAGATTCTTCTAACTTTCTAGGCCCCACCAGCAACATTTCATTCCAAAGGCATTCCAGTGTCAGATCTAGCATTTGGAAGTAGATGAAAGTAATGGGCTCATCCCCATAGTAAGTGTAAAGGCAGTACTGTAAATAGAACCACCAAATGAAGGACTGAAGTAAAATTTATTACTTGCACAAAGATAACAACCATGGAAGTGTCTCCTGGAGCACAGAAAGCAAGAAGAGTTTGTTAGGGAAACTTTAATGCACATTCATTTTGCAAAGACCCATTATCATCACTTGCAGAGATGGGCATGGTATTGAGCATGCTCAGTTCAAGATCTTGCTTCCTACATCCTGTATTTAAAAATGGCAGATGGGAATGCCTTCTGGGCACAGAATTTGTACTGAAGTGTCCAGCACTAACTTGGTTAAAGTATATCTGGGAAAAAAAAGATTTCTGGTTATTTTTAACATTTCAACCAGGAAAAGTTTGGTGTAGGAGGAATTCTGTAGAGGAAAATGTTTTTTATTATCTAGTGTTAATGTGTTTAAGCCAACATCATAGCTGTAAGTAGGTGGATCTTTTTGTGTGAATTGAGGAATACTATGGAAACTCATTTTTTCTCTCTCTATTCATAATCCTGAAAGACATTTCTTCAGTGTCTGACTCCATCATTTGAACTTTCCCCATTTGGTGGATTTTTTTCCATGTCATGGTTTTAGGAGCAAAAAAATTGATAAATACCATTTTATATATATATATATATATATATTTAAGTTATATTGTTTCATTTGGATAAAGAGCTACCTAGGGTAGCTACAGAACTTAGAGAAATTGGTGGGGAAGAGATAAAAAATAATCATCATACCAAATTTACCTTTATTTGAGTATCTACCTCATTTCCTAATGCTAGCAAGAAATTTCTTTGATGGCCATTTTTATGTCTGAGAAGACTCTTTCTCTCTCCCCCTCCCCCCCCCAAGTCTTGGGAGCTGTTTATGAGCTTTTGTGTTCAAGGCTGGCACTCTATCATTTGAGCCACAGCTCCACTTCCAGCTTTTTGTGGTTAATTGGAGTTAAGAGTCTTATAAACATTCTTGCTGGGGATGGCTTTAAACTGTGATTCTCTGGTCTCAGCCTTCTGAGTAGTTATGATTACAGGCCGGAGCCACTGGTGCCTAGCAGAAAACTTTTTAGCTCATTATCCCATTTATTAATTGGGTTCTTGGAGACTTTAGTATTTAAAGCTCTCTGTGTTTTTTTTTTAATTAGGCCATTGTTTGATGTGTCAGTGGCAAAAATCTTCTCCCATTCTGTAGGCTTTTTAGATTATTAGCTATGTCTTTTGCCATGCAGAAACTTTTTAGTTTGATTCAATCCAGTTTCTCAAGTTGTTCTTTGACTTGCTGTGCTTCTGGATCCCTACTCAGAAAGTTCCTGCCTGTGCCTAGGAGTCCCAAGATTTCTCCCACTTCTTCCTATAATAGTTTCATGGCTTCAGGTCTTACATTGAAGTCTTTGATCCATTTTGAACTAATGATGGAGCATGGTGATAAATAGGGATGCAATTTCAGTTTTCTGCATGTGGACATCGAGTACCATTTGTTGAAGAGGCTGTCTTTCTTCCAGCCTGTTTTTTTGGCTCCCTTATTGAATATTAAATGGATGTAGGTCTGTAGGTGTGTTTCTGGGTCTT